AAGTTACTTCTCTATATATGCATGTGCTTTTAAAATTTTCACCAATGAACAGGAACTGTTTTGTCATAAGAAAAGAGTTTTTCAAAAAAGAAATCAACTATTTTTCCAATTTTGCCTACAAAAGTTTAAAATATATATATTATATACTTTTGTTGACAAAGAATAATCATAAGAATCCAAGTGCAATTCATTAACTATCGCTACTATAATTTTTCATATGGCCTATTTCCCTTGTGCAGTCCCTTTATGCAGCCTTCCTACCTTCCGCGTCTATAGGCATTCAGCTGCTTTGGGCTCCACATTTCTAAACAGTATACACCACCTCCTTTGCTCTCCCTCAAGCTAATGGTTTCCTCCTCAATTTCCCCATTCTTATTCCTGGCAACCTCCCTGCACCCAGGCTACATATCCAGTGGTCATATTTACCCCCCGCTCTCTCTCACCCATTATACAAGATCAGTCATTTTCATCTAACAGTCCTTCAAAATGTCTTTAACTTGCCCATTTTCCATCCCACCTGCTGCCACAACTCTAATCAAGCTATTAGGGCCTCGCACCAGGATTACACGCAAGGCTGCCTCACTCATGGCCTTGCTGCACGAATCAAATCTCAAACCTGTCCTCCCTGTGTCACTGGATTACTCAGAAAACCTTCCATAGCTTCCTACTGGTTAGTAGAAAACCAAACTTCCGATTATCTTTCTAATTTTGTCACCCGCACCCTGTAATACTTGGCAGACTCCTTGGCACAAGAGTTGAGTTTAAATAAACATTTGAAGAATGAGCAAGAATCCCTCGGCCTGAAGAAGCTGTGTCCCCAAGCGCATCTCCAGTTTGTTCCCTCAAATGCATTCCTCCTCCCCAGGACACCAGGCTGCCCTCCTCCGTGCCTCTCCAGCTCCCACTCGTCCCCACGTCTCATCAGCTTCCCTCTCTAGGGAGCCTTCTCTGAGCAGTCCCACCATGCGGACTGCCCCTTCCTTCCTTCCATTTCCTGTGGCCCAGACTTGAACCACACATGGGACCCCTAAGTCTGCTGACTTAGATTCTTTTTTACCTGCTGCCGCCTGTAAACCTGGTCTCCTGTATAAAATCCGAATTCCTATAAGACACGGTCACCGCTTATACCTATTTAGCACGTCCCACTCACCACAGAGTTTCATGGTGTTTTATTTAAACTGTAAGCACTCAATACACACCTGTCTGAATCAACGTGAAGCATATCAAAAGTGGGAGGCTGATAAAAAAATGCACGTCAACATTTAGAAGCAAAACCGACCACGCCTAGACTTCAGCTTCCACATCCGGACAAAATGTTAGCCACCACTTATCTCAAGAACAGCTGACAGAATAAATTTCAAACCCCTCAGACTAGGAATGCCTTTCACCAAGTCCCACCCTACCTACCATCCTCGGACCACTGCCCAAGCCCCTCTGCCCCAGGCCACTGCACACACCTGGCACTCACAGCTCTTTGCTTTCTACATGTTGTTCCTTTGCCTGGAATGGTCTTCTTTTCCCCCACAGCCCTCCTCCACCTTCTCCATTTGATAAATCAATACCTAGTCACCTTCCAGCACAGCTCACACATCCCCACGGTAACTTTAATGACCCTCTCTAGGAAGGTGGAACTAGCCCCCACATCATCTTCCTGCTAATTAATGCTATAGAATGCTTAGCAACCATATTTTTCTTGTCTTACACTTAAACGCACATAGCGAGATAGTCAGGAGCTGAGATTTATACATCTTTATAAACCAACACCTAACACCGTACTTAACATACAGTTAACAACTTCAAAAAAAGAGAAAAACAGAAGAATTGATTCTAACTGAAGAACATAAAACAAGCCAGATTTAGGTCCATGTCAGTCCTCCCGGATGCCTCTTTCCTCATCTGTCTCAGTTCCGCCAGCTCTTTGATCTTCATAGCTGCCAACTCCCCTGCTACCAGCCCACCAGGTCCAAAGGGTGCAGTGACGCTTCTCTCCACCTCCCCCAAGATAGAGACGAGTCCTCTTACTAGCTTAGCAGACAGAAGGATATTTATTAGGATGAAAAGTCAGGAAAAAGTCACAGAACATCAGCAAAGGAGTCAGGTTTACAGAGTGCTTACGGCTGATCCGTACTTAACTACAAAGCCCAGCCACAGCGGAGACGTGCCTGGCATCGTCCCCACGGCGCCTCACTCCGATTCTTCCTCCACCACAACACTGTCTGCGGTGGATGGTAAACAAGAGATCCTCGGCGTGCTGAGCCAAGGATTTGTGTGGGTACCACACTACCCAGGACTGATGAGATCACTGGAAGCTTTGCCAGATCCACAATCCCTTCCAGAAACTGCTGATCACCATTTTCTTCAGGGACGGTTCCCCCCACATCATCCCCTCAAGACTCTAAGCCATACAGAACTCTCACTCGAAAGCCATGTAGGCCTAGCCACCCCAGGGGATGACAGCGCTTCCTGATCTGGTCCCAAAGATTCCACCCCAGCCCACGGGCCCACTTACACAGAAGCCCCACAGGTGGCACTCCAGAACTCTGCATGGGTGAAGGTCTACCCTACCTGGGTCTACCTGACCGATCTGATTTGTCTCCAGTATAGAGTGTAGACTTGCCTGCTATTGAGATATAGCAGCTGAAGGAGACATGTTGTCCCAAAGTCGGTTCTTAACGGAGCCTCACCAGCTGCCACAAAAGGTGAACACAGCCTGTACCTGGAGCCTTTCCACTAGATCATGCCAGAAGACCAGTAAGGAAGGTTCCAAGATGTGCCATCCATTGAGACACTCCAGGCTGTTCCATTTCCTGTCAAAGGATGCCCGCAACTATTGCTGGTTTAGAAAACTGAAATACATAACAGACAGGTCCTGTGTTCGAAGAATGATTATAACTTTGCCAGCTCAAGTTAATGAACTTGATCCATTTCTCTGGGCTCTTTGGCCACCCACTCATGTGCTCTTCTGCAAGTAGTCTTCCGGAATTACATCATTAGAGTTCTACAGTGTGGACCTTAGATACACATGCTACAAACGTCTGTGGTCCCCTCATACACACCTCATCTCAATCATGATGGGCCCAAAATGCCTAGCAATAGACACTCATCTAAATGAGAAACAAAACTTCTATTTTCTGGATTCTTATTATTCAGAATCCCTTTCCACTTGAGAATTTCTATATTGCATTGTCCTTTTGGGGCCAAAAACAAATTTATGAAAGAATTCTGCTTTCTTCTGCATAATCCAAACCTCCTTACAAATTTATCCTTTTCTCTGCCACCCCACACCCCCCCAAAAAAAACTGCTCATATTTTTAACTATTTTCTTTTGGAGTTTTTGTCTCTTCTGTGTTTGAATTATTTAATTTTAAGTATATATTGAATCAATATCTAATGCAGGTGCTGGACATGTTCCTATAAGTTTTTTCATTGAATCTTCACAATTTTTGTAACTTATGAAAATATTCCAACATATACAAAGTAGACACAATAGTATAATAAAGCCAATACTCCATGTCCCAATTTCAAAACTTATCATCACATTGCCCATTCTTTCTTCCTACCCCACCAAAACTGGATTATTTAAAACCAAATCTCGGACATCATAATCTCATCTGTAAATACTTTAGTGTGGATCTCTAAGAGAAGAAAGAAGGCCCTTTATAGTTCCCATAAGAATATCATTACCCAGCCTAAAAATCAATTAAGAACAATTACTTAATATCCAATAATCCTGCCCGTGTTCAAATCCCCTCATTGCTCAGCTTTTTAAAATAGTAACACATTTTGATGCTCACAGAATTATTGACTTTCTAAGTCATATATTCCATGCCCAGCAGTGGAACATCAAGTTTCTCATTTGAAGCGTTGGTCCTCTTTATGTGCAGGACAGCTGCCTTTTTGTCATGTTTAGGAAACATTCATATATACACTTTCTAAATTACCTTTACAAAAGTGGCCTTTTCTTTTTTGAGTACTTTGATTCCCGTTAAATCAAAAAAAGTGTTTGGAACCTGAGGTGGACTTTTATTAGAGTACGAACCATTCACTGCTCAATATCACAAAGCAGGTGAAACTATCAGAAACTAAGGAAATAAACTTGTACGGTGTCTGTTGTGACCTCATATCTATGATTACTCATCCTGAGGCCTCCACATCAGTTGTAATAAAATGATGATGATGATGACAATGATGATGATGATGGTGACAACAACGACGGGCTTTTACCAAGGACAGAGAAGGACAGCCACCTTTGGATGAAGCATTACTGAAATATTTATGAATAGGTTTAAACTTCTACGGAGAAAAAGCATTGCCACCACACCGCACAAGTCTAGCCTAGAAAGGAAAACAGGTTGCAATACTAAGTCCCCCAGAAACTCCTTTTAACTAACTACCTGACACCATGTGCGATAAAAGAAACTAAAATGTAAACCATGTTGCCATCACAATCACCTACAGGTTTCTGATACATTTTTAAAAATAGATATAAGGATCTCTTTCATGAGTCTTAAGTAAAGATACTTTTGGGGGATTTGTAAAAAATTTAACAATGAAATAAAGAGTTGCTTGAAAGTAATCTTTCAAAGTTACAGAACACAAATCAAACAAGACACAAAATAGACTCCTTTATACTGACCTTTAAAAATATTGTTCTAAGCTCAGCTGGATCGGCTCTCTTGGTTAAAGCCACCTATAAATAAACAGAAAAGTGTTTATATTATTAGAACAAAGCTGAGAAATCAAGCTAGTGTCAGAAAGAAAATAAACTCTAGGTTAGAAATTAGTGGATTTCATTTTTGTACTTAAAGCACCAAATTTCCCTGGTGCATAAACTACTCCCTGGATTTTAAATTAGACTCTTTTTGTGGCTTCTAGAACGCTAACATTCTAGACAAGCAAACCGTAAAGCTCCTGATATGTATTCTTTAATGTGTGTGTGTGTGTGTGTGTGTGTGTATATACATACATATATATATATATATATATATATATATATATATATATATATATATATATATATTTTCCCCCCAAAGAAGAAAAACGAAAGAAAAGTTGCAACAGATTTATAACCACCTGGCATTTTAAAACCATACTCCAGAGTGAACTATGCCCTTTCATAGGGAAATATTAAGTATTAAAGTACAACTTGTTTATGCAAGAGAACATAATTCTTAAAGAAGTTAGTGAACATGGGAAATCATATTAACAAACAGGAGGGAATTGCTTCTCCCAGTCCTACCACGAGCAGGCGTGACTGCCTAGCTATCTGGGCATGCCAAGCGAAGTCTCCTCCTCGCCCTGACTTTTAATTTAAGAAATCAGAAGTCTCCAAAGGTACAACTATTATTCTCCATGTTCTAGAAATGTACGGGGCTATGGTTACCTTTCAAGAGCAAAATTTGACAGATTAGCTCAGAATAGGTGTTGTGCTTAATTCTCCAGCCCACAAAGTCCAAAAACATCATTGGGGAAAAAATGCAACACAAACTTGAACATGGCTGCCCCAGGCCAACACAAAAGAGTCCTTATGTGGAACCAAACAGTGGGCTTATTCAGCGCCCCATCACCCAATCCTGTTGGCAAAACCATCATGAGACTGAATTCTCACCAAGCACAGCGTCACCCCATGATACAGCCAAGGAGGGGTTCCTGGAACCACCCCAATACTGGAGCCATGTCGCTATCCACAGGGAGATTTATGCAAATTGTTCTAAATCCCTTCTGTGTGTTTGCAAAGGCTCTTCTGAGATCTTTGGACAATGGGTTCTCTGTCTCTAAAAGTGTAGCTGCCTGAGCTCCTTTGCCCACCACTGTCAGGAATAATTTTATTAACTAATCACTGGAATGGGAAAGGTACTCTTTCGAAACCAGTTGGTTGGTCACCTTGTTTCCCAGGGCAAGACTGATAACTCTTTTAATTTCAACTGAGTACTTGTAACCACCAGCGCTATTTTTATCCACAAGAATTTTGTGACCTTTTAAAAATCCTGAATTAGTTAGTGTTCTTTTGCTGTTCAATTAAGGAGGAAAAAAAATAGAATGTTAACCAACCTAAGATTGATGATAGTGTTGACCTGAGGGCTGCAAGGAGAAGATTCCCTCCTTTCAGGTCAATGTTCTGAGAAAGGTGGGGTAGGACTAACACTGCTGGAGAAGAGGGGACGGCATACAAATGTCTCTACCCTCTTCTTTCAAGAGCAGAGAAATTCCCTTCGAGTTCCACATCTCAAGACAGTCCATAAGTAACATTTTTTTAAAAGGCATATGGTGACCCTGGGCACTTAGTTGCTTTTCCTTTTAAAAGCAAAGGAAAGTTTCCACAAAGTGAACTATTCTTGCTCTGTCTAAATACCACATCCTTTAAAATTTAATTAATTCACTATGCCATGCACTTCATAAAGCTGTCCCTGGGCCATGCTCCTTCCGAGTGAATTTCTCCTGCCCTCAATTCCCACAGCTTTCTTCTGCTTATTGATCTCCAAATGCACATTCAGGGCTCACCACCAGGATTACACCTCTGGGAGAGAAAGAAACAAAGTGTTTACTCTCCCAGGGTCTCCCCCATAGAGGAAAACAATTTACACAGTGACCCAACACTTGTAAGTCTTATGTTGTCTAAGGTGTACAGAACATTTTATTGTTTTCAAAGCATGACTACCACCTCATTGGATCCTCACAACACATCGGAGACTCGAACTGAGCATGTTACTGTCCCCGTTTTACAGAAGGGGAAAGCAAGGCTCAGAAAGGGTCAAACAGTCCCTCAAAAGTCAGATTAAGCTCCAATGTGTACTTACATTTCTAAGTGTTCAAGATCAGATCCCAAATCTTCCATCCTTTACTGTGTCTTTCCACTGGGCCACATTATAGGCAGCTTCACACTGACCTTCAATTATGTTAACCTCTAACATAATACAGTCCACGCCTAGAAATCGAGCATCTCCCAGTTTCTCCTAACACCACCAGTTTGCGGTGTCCATCCAGTGCTGTGATGAAGAACATGGCTATAGGACCGGCTGAGGGGCATGTTGGTTAAGAGTTGGCTTGGGACGCCAGCTCTGAGCAGCAGGGCCCCGGTTCGGATCCCACATGAGGGCCAGTGATGCTGCACCCTCTACAGCTAAGATAGTGAACAACAGCTTGACCTGGAGCTGGGCTCCCGTGAGTAGCAGGCAATGGCATAGGCTGCAGTGGAGCTGCAGTGGGCTGCTGTAAGCTACGTGAACGGCCTGCAGCTGGTGTGAGCTGCCAAGAGCCGCCATGAGCAGCCATCCAGTGACCAGCAACCGATCTGCCTCACCTGGGGAAGAGCGCAATGATCATCGTAACATGGGCCAGTGAAGCAACATCCTCCACAACTAGACTGAAGAACAAAAGCACAACAACTTGTCTGTTCCCCTCCCCAATTCCCCAATAAAAATCTTAAGGAAAAAAAAAAAAGAATATGGCTATAGTGTCAGGGGCAGACCTGACCTCTAAACTCACTAGCTATGTGACCTTGAGCTACTTTCCTGACCTCTCAGCCTCACTTTCCTCATCTATAACATGGGGAGTTCTGGATGGTTGGAGGGGTGATAGGAGTCAATTACATAAAGCACTTAGAACCAAAAACTCCCAACAGTGAAAGTACTCAGCCAAAAGAAGGGACACACTAGGAAAGATTTTTCTACATGTAGGAGTATTTTTCAAACTGGCTTTCTTACACTAGAACCAAGCTGCAGTTGTAGGCTCATTAACACATCACAATGGTACAGACTTGTATACTCAAAATAGTTGCTAGGTCTAACAGAAGGCACTTAGGAAGAACCTAAGAAAACCTACATAAAACATGGGCTACTAATTTGAAGAAGGAAATGTAAAGAAAACAAAAGCTATCATTTTACATTGGGAATCTCTATAGATATGTGGGACCATGATCTCCTCGAAGATGTCTGAGTCCTCCACATCCCCAACTCTGGCAAAGAACGTAAACTAAACAGTAGCTCCAAAAATGGTGCTTAAAAAAGAACTTCTTCCAGGTGGGTAGAAATCAGATCTTTACAATGAAAATGGGTAGCTCCATTTAGACCAGTGGTTCTCAAATTGTGGTCACTGAGCCACCAGCATCACCTGGGAACTTTTAGAAATGCAAATTCTCACACCAGACCCTAGACCTACCCAATCAGAAACTCTGAGGGTGGAGCCCAGCAGCCTATAGTTTAACAAGTCTTCCCACTGATCCTGGTGCTGTTCAAGTTCAAGAACCACAACTTTAGCTAATGTCCAATTCTGTGTGATTAGGACCAAGGCTCTCAGCCCCAGCTGCACATTCAAGTCATGTGAGGGGCTTTTAAGTCTTATCAATGCCCAAGCCCTGCCAAACGCCAGTTGAATTAGAATCTCTAAAATGGGCACCATTAAAGCTCCCCATGATATTATAATGTTTGGCTGGGTTGAGAAGCACTGGGTTAGAACCCAGGATACCAACCTCAGCTTCCTACTTCACAGGCTGCACAACACGACCTTCATTCTGCAGTACTTCCCCCATCACCCTCCCAAACCTGAAAGGTCTGAAAGCCATGACAAGCACAGGCTTGTGCTGAAAATTGTTCTGTCATGAAGTAATTGTTTACTTTAGATGTGAAATAAAAACAAGAAGAGACGGCTCATCAAAAGCAGGCTACTGTGAGTGTACGTTGGGGGGGACAGAGTGGAGGAGGATGTGCATGTACACACATGCAGGTATACAGTGTCACAAGCAAAAAAGGGTGGGGGAGGGAGAAATATTCCTACATGATCTTTTGTACCTGAGAATGAAAGTGTAGTAGGCGGTCCAGAATCCCGATGAAAAGCACTATTGGGTGGGACCTACCAACTTAAAAGCTGGGGTCCACCCTTCTTCCCATGTATCTTTCTGTACTGCCAAGACTGGAAGGTTAAAACTACATTTCCCAGACTCCCTTGCAGCTACGTGATCTAGATGCTATCAGATGAAGGTGAGGGAGGTTTGGAAGACAAAGTGTTGGAAGATAACGATTTGGAAGTTAGGGGCCATGTTCCTGCTGTTTCTGCCAGCAAGCACCAGTTGGGAGGGTCTGATTTTTCAGCGGCAACCTCCTGCCCATGTCAAAATGGTTCTGAAATACTCCCCATTTGGCAGGTGGTTTCATGATTCATGACTGCACAAAAGGCAACTGCTCTCTTTGTGGCCTTCTCTGCTGTGAGGCTCTGGAAGTCATTCCTGAGAGCTCAACCTGAGGTCTATTTCTTTACCTTCCCAACCAATTCTGTAAGCCACTTATACCCTTTAATAAGTCGTTCTCTGCTTAAACCAGCTAGAGTGGATTCTCTTCTCTGCAAGTGAACCTTGACTGATATAATCAGTAATTGCAAAATAAAGTTTGGAATTCCCCAAAACCACTGCATTACCATTAACATGAGAGGAAGAAAGAGATATCACATCAAATTTAAGAAAAATATATTTTTTATTGAATTTACTGAGTCACTCATTCCTCATCCTACAGTTTCCCTAAGTTCTAATACATGAAGAGCAGTAATTATGAAAAAAATTACTGAAATATAAATTAGACAAGATGCCATGTTAAGCATTCTTTGAACCACAACATTTTTGTGTAATCCACACCCAAGAGTTCCTATCATTCAACAGTTGACATATAAAGCACCAGACATCACAAATGTTAACCCACTGAG